CCTTTTTCTTGAAACCTGTCCTTTTAAAAGTACATCATTCGAAGATAATGTACTTTTAAAAGTACGTACTTTTGAAAGTACATCATTGTCTAGAATGATGTACTTTTAAAAGTACACCCAATTTACATCTCAATTAGAGACAATTTATGATTTTTATCTCGCCCCACATTATTGCCTATTTATTGCACAATCGTTTAGGCAATATTAAAAAACCAAATTTGGGATCCATCAAAGTTGGAGAATTGGCTGGTGGTACCGAGAATTTACCTTTTTTCAAAGTACCATTTTTGACCACCTTTGCCAACATCCTATAAATTTCCTGATTTTTTTAACCATCTGGTCAGGGTGTTAAAATCATCAGCAGACTTTTTCTAACCTAATGCAAAAAACTGTATCAAAAAATATTTGTCATGAGACAAGTTAGGTCACTGTTTATGAACCGTACTTTTAAAAGTACCGTGGAAGAATATGGGTTAAGGACTTCTCAAGAGTTTGAGGCCACTCTGCATGTTGAATGGTACGAGAAAACTACTTTCCCTGATAACAGTAATACTACACAGAACGGATGATGATTAATCACTCTACACTCGACTGTCAAGTTACTTTTTCAACCCGTTCTCTAGCTGGTCCTGAACGACTATTCGAAACCCTAACCCTCTAATCTGATCCCAACCCTAACCCTAGCCCAATCCTTAACAAAAGCATATGCTAAAACCCTAACCCTAACGAGAAATTAGACTAACTTCCTTATACGGTCATACCACGTGATCGAGACAGTTTTTCGCAAATATCTCGTCAGGGGAGCATTTTAAAAATACGTCGATTAAAGTTGGTTTCAACTTTTTAGAACAATCTCGAAGATCGACTGAAAAGGGATTTAGCACGCTCGACACAGAACTCAGAGGCAGGTTGCTTAATATACAGCCCCATGGCGAAATGCCTATAAAGCTGGACACATCAGCTGTACTAAAGTGCTAACATCGGATGGACGCAAGGTATCCTGATTTCTGTTGTACACAGTCTTCCCCCAATAATTTGCCTTGCGTCACAGCGAAGGTATGTGTTTTTGGATCTAGGAAGAGATTTGAACATCATTCAATTTCAAGAAGTTAGAAGACATGTAGTGTACCTTGCTCGGAAATTAGATCATGTTATATATTAGATAGGTATATGTGGAATCCATTTATCAAAGGAAAGAATTAATGACCATAAACTTTGTATCGCTTTACAGTACGTTGTATTTTATTTTGTAGCGTCATCTAGCGTCGTCTATTGTGAAATGACGCTAGATGACGTTATAGATCAAGATGACGCTAGATGACGCGATAATGCCGCCAATTGTTATGCACCTTTTCAATGTCGCTATATAGCGTTAGATAGCGCTAAATAGCGCTAGATGACGCTAGATGGCGCTAGATAACGCTTTCTAGCGTCATTTAACGCATAGTTACGCGAATTAATGGTCACCAGGCGACAGCTAGCGCTATTTGCACAGGATTTCTGGCCTTTTTGTAGGCGACATCTACCGCTGTTTAGCGCTAAATGTCGCAGTGACATCTGACGCGGCTATATAACATCTAGCGCTAGATAGCGGAGGATGTCGGTACAGTTACTATGACCCTGTTTATATTACATCATCCTGATAACACTAACTTTTTAGTGAAATGGACCAGAAAAATGTTCTAGACTTTAAAGATGAGATGAAGATGGAAGAATTAAAAAGTTATCCACCAGAATTGATCAAGACAGAGATTAAGAAGGAGGAAGAAAATGTTCCAGACCTTAAAGATGAGATGAAGATGGAAGAATTAGAAAGTTTTTCACCAGAATTGATCAAGACAGAGATTAAGAAGGAGAAAGATAATTTGTTAATCAAAACAGAAGTGCATTCGAATGGTGTTTCTCAGTTGTATTGTCTTAATCAGGAATCAGCATTAGTTCCACACCAATGGGTTCATGCCAGTGAAAATGCTTACATTCGCTCTAAATGTTCCTACAGTGCAAGCAAAAAAACAACTTTAGTTTCCCACCAAAGCGTTCATACTGGCATAAAACCTTTCAAATGCTCTGAATGTTCCTACAGTGCCAGCAAAAAATCAAACCTGGTTTGCCATCAGCGGACCCACACCGGTGAAAAACCGTATAAATGCTCTGAATGTTCCTACAGTGCAAACCGAAAATCGAGCCTGGTTCAACATCATCGGACTCATACCAGTGAAAATGCTTACATTAGCTCTAAATGTTCCTACAGTGCTTGCAAAAAATCAACTTTAGTTTCCCACCATAGCGTTCATACTTGCATAAAACCTTTCAAATGCTCTGAATGTTCCTACAGTGCAAGCAAAAAATCAAACCTGGTTTGCCATCAGCGGACCCACACCGGTGAAAAACCGTATAAATGCTCTGAATGTTCCTACAGTGCCCACCAAAAAGCAAACCTGGTTTGCCATCAGCGGATCCATACCAGTGAAAAACCTTTCAAATGCTCTGAATGTTCATACACTGCAAGCCGAAAAGCAAACCTGGTTTACCATCAGCGTACTCATACCGGTGAAAAACCGTATAAATGCTCTGAATGTTCCTACAGTGCAAGCCACAAATCAAACCTAGTTCACCATCAGATGACTCATACCGGTGAAAAAACGTATAAATGCTCTGAATGTTCCTACAGTGCCCACCAAAAAGCAAACCTGGTTTGCCATCAGCGGACCCATACCAGTGAAAAACATTTCAAATGCTCTGAATGTTCCTACAGTGCAAGCCACAAATCAAACCTAGTTCACCATCAAATGACTCATACCGGTGAAAAACCGTATCAGCGGAACGGCATTGAAGAGAAATCACATTTTATTCACGAAAGCGGTCAGGCTTCGAATTACTTCCAAAACAGTAGCGTCGGAAGACCCATTTTTGTTAAGCCTTTACCTTTCGTGAAGCCTCTCACATTTGTAAAGCCCCTGAACTTCGCTGACCCTGTTCTCCCTAGTTCAAGATTACTTCCCGGTATCTTTATAGATTAATTATTAGTTGTGAATATCATATAAGTGTTGTGATATTGCATAATTTATTGTAAATGAAGTATATGTTTCAGAAAATTATGTAATGTAACGCGATGGAAGTTATTTAAGCGGGCAATTCCAGTCCAAACCCTGGAAACATGACATAAAAGACTTGTTTTTACTTGTTTGAATGAAAAGCACTAATATAAGGTTGCAGATTAATCAACAATCAAGGGTGTTTATCTTATCAACGAGAAAAACTTTTGTACCGACTATTTTCACATCGGGCAATCATATAACTGTTTAATTATTAATTAGCTAATTACTAAAAATCATAAAATTCTTTATTGGCTCAAAATGGTTGGAATCGCTTGAAACACGGAGAAAAGTAATTTTTAGAAAAACTTTTTCACTTACAAATTTGCTTTTAGGCTGAAAAATGTTAAAATCGAAAATATTTATAATTGAAGTTTAGTAAATCTCAGCAGATTTTAGTTACTAGGAATAACTAAATAAAATGGAAAGATTGGAAACTGATAAACGTAAACCACACAATATTTGAGTTTCTTAATTAAGTCCAGTGCAGCCTTATCAATTCTACTAAAAATTAAAAACTGCACCTAAGGCCCATTCGAGATCGAACCAATAACCTGCTGTACTATTATTTTAAGAATCGAAAGCTATTTTATCGATTTCAATGATTAATCAGTGGAATTAAGATAATCACATTTGTGCAGTAAATAAAACCTCTCTATACCTATAAGTCTGTAGACTGTAGATACATGTGTACACAGACTTGTGTAAGTCTGTACATACATTAGTATCGGGCGTTGCCTGCTTATAGTTATACAGGCTATTATATCCCAAAACTAGAAGTATGATCTAATAAATAGATTAGACCGTCATTCGTCAACTGTGCCAATGTGTACTTGGATATACCGGGTTTTTTCTTTTCCTCCTCTATACCGGGCCTCTTCTTTTCCTCCTCTATATCGTGCCTCTTCTTTTCCTCCTCTATACCGGGCCTCTTCTTTTCCTCCTCTAAACCGTGCCTCTTCTTTTCCTCCTATATACCGGGCCTCTTCTTTTCCTCCTCTATACCGGGCCTCTTCTTTTCCTCCTCTATACCGGGCCTCTTCTTTTCCTCCTCTATACCGGGCCTCTTCTTTTCCACCCTCTAGTATACCGGGCCTCTTCTTTTCCTCCTCTATACCAGGTCTCTTCTTTTCCTCCTCTATACCGGGCCCTTCTTTTCCGCCCTCTATACTGGGCCTCTTCTTTTCCTCCTCTAAACCGGGCCTCTCCTTTTCCTCCTCTATACCGGGTACTTGGATATACCGGGTCTCTTCTTTTTCTTCCCTTATACCGGGCCTCTTCTTTTCCTCCTCTATACCGGGCCTCTTCCTTTCCTCCTCTATAGTCTATACCGAGTCTCTTCTTTACCTCCTCTATACTGGGCCTTCTTTTTCTCCTCTGTACCAGGCCTCTTCTTTTCCACCCTTTATACCGGGCTTCTTCTTTTCCTCTTCTAGTTCTAAACCGGGCCTCTTCTTTTCCTCCTCTATACCGGGCCTCTTTACCGGGTACTTTGATATACCGGGTTTCTTCTTTTCCTCCTCTATACCGGGTCTCTTCTTTTCCTCCTCTTTACCAGGCCTCTTTTTCAACGGAACCATGAGTGCTGTCAGGGTTAATGGGGAAATGTCTGATTGGTTTTCTGTCAATTCAGGCACTGGACAGGGTGATATCCAGGGCCCTCCTGTATTTAATTTTTGTCTGAACTTTGGAATCTTTTTGGCTGAGGTTCACAAGGCTATCAGTCATGGTGCTGTACTGCAAAAGGAACTAAAGGGTGCAGATGAAAAAGTTATCATGGATAGTGACTACGCTGATGATCTGGCAGTGATGGACAATACTGAAGAAGGGCTGCAAGAGTCCACTGATCTTATCGCTTATTACACCTCTTATGCTGGGTAAAAAGATCAACGCTAAAAAGACACAATGCATGGCGATCAGCAAGTGTGCGTCCCAGCGACCTTACATGCCGAAAGAGACAGTATAAAGCTAACAGTGGAGGGAGAACCTGGTGAACAGGTCAGCAACTTTGTTTATCTTGGTGCCAACATCAGTTGGGATGGTACCATTGACCGAGATCTTGACATCAGGATCCAGCGTGCTAATGGTGCGTTCCATCAGCTTTGGAAGATATGGAACAGTCGAACTATAAGAACGCCCACCAAGATCCGTATCTACAAGGCTGCTGTTATTACCATTCTGTTATATGGAGCTGAAGTCTGGAACACAACAAAGAAGCAGATGAAACGGTTTGAGGTCTTCCATCTGACCTCCCTGAGAAGAATCTTGAAGATAAAGTGGTTCTTCCATGTCTCCAATGAAGAAGTTCTCAGGCGTGCTGTAATTAAGTCTATCGAAACTTTCATCGGTGCAGCTAGATTAAGGAATTAAACTGGAATTAAACTGGAATTAAACTTAAAATAGTCAGGGGGAACACTAAGCCGCATGCCTCATCGGCGTGAAAATCACGGACATGTTGTCAGAATGCCAGAGTCACGGTTTCCCAATTTCTTACTGGATTGGAAACCAAACTATGGAAAGAGACTGAGAGGACGACCCCGCAAAGGCTGGATGGCCTGTGTACTCGAGGATGCGGCTGAATTAACAGGTGTCGATAACATCAGCAGAGACGCAGTAAAACGGTTAGCTCTAAAGCGAGTGGAATGGAGGAACATGTTACGCCGTAGAAGAGATGTGTGTGATGCAGGCCACTCCAACGACTAGGAGGAGACCTCTTCATGTAGCATGTATGTATATTGTATACCAGGCCTCTTCCTTTCCTCCTCTATAGTCTATACCGGGTCTCTTCTTTTCCTCCTCTATACCGGGCCTCTTCTTTTCCACCCTTTATACCGGGCTTCTTCTTTTCCTCTTCTAAACCGGGCCTCTTCTTTTCCTCCTCTATACCGGGCCTCTTCTTTTCTTCCTCTATACTGGGCCTCTTCTTTTCCTCCTCTATACCGGGCCTCTTCTTTTCCTCCTCTATACCGGGCCTCTTCTTTTCCTCCTATATACCGGGCCTCTTCTTTTCCTCCTCTATACCGGGCCTCTTCTTTTCCTCCTCTATGCTGGGCCTCTTCTTTTCCTCCTCTATAATACCGGGCCTCTTCTTTTCATCCTTTATACCCGGCCTCTTCTTTTCCTCCTCTATAATACCGGGCCTCTTCTTTTCATCCTTTATACCCGGCCTCTTCTTTTCCTCCACAATCAGACGTAGACCGAGTTGTGCAAGAAATGTGATTTATCATAGCTCATATCGTAATTGGTGGGTGATGTGAGTACACATCTATCTGTGTTCAATCACAATACGTGCATAATGGGGTGTATGAAACACTCTATCATCTATACCGAGGTTTCTCTATATCGTGCACTTTCCGTTTCTCCCGAGACCAGCTATAAAAGGTTTTACTGTATCATGAAAATGTCTACTTAGCCTAATGACTCATTGAAAGCTCGAAGAAGAAAAGAAAAGACTAGGTAAAAAACTTACTAATTTAGTAATTTAAATTAGAAAAGATATCTGATCTTCCTGAAACTCTCCAACTAATTAGTCTTAACGTTTAATACTCTAATAGTACTTGAAAATTATGTTGGTCAGTTCATGTTGGAAAAGACAATGGGAACATTTTGTAAAAGTTTTCAGACCCCGCGCGTGCGGCTGGTGATTTGTTACTAATACTAAGTGTTTTACTATTTTTCTGAACTCTAGAATGTGACTAAGGAATGCATGAGTGATTATATTTGCCTTGGTTTATATTAATAAACTAATATAGTAATCGGCTACACACATATCTACGCATATGCAGGGACACACAATAATTCTAAAATTAATGGAAATAATTACCGGACTTTATTATTTACGGACATTATTATCTTCAGCGTGAAAGTAATGTGATAATTATGACCGATAAGGTAGTTGTGGTTTGGATTGGGGTAAGGGTTTATGAAAAACCGTTAATTATATATTTTACAGTTTCTTAATTATATTTTATTTTGACTTAAAATATGCAATCAATTTCTCGGGACAAACAACCAAATTGTCGTACAGCGATTTATATTTAATTTCATTTTAAATTGTTGGCACTGAGTTTACTGCATGTTTTATTAGAAATTTCTTTGAAAGAATCATCAGCAGTTGGAATTTTGATTGTGTAATTCAATTACAAATTTCTATGAGATCCTTGACCTGCTTCTGTGGAACACTCCTGACCTCTCAATACTCCTTCCGTGGAACAAGTGGAACGAAAAGTCTAACTGCTAAGTTCAATCAGGAACTGTTACTTCATACTTTCCTCCTAGAATGTATTGTTTTTGTAATTGTATATTAGAGCTTTAGCCACAGGTAGGTTGGTCTGCACGGACCCTACAGTTTCAATTCCTTGTTTTACTAGCCGTATGCAGCAAGGATATCCACTGTGCTCACCAGGTTAGGCACATAAACAACACTACCCTGCTAGAGTTAGCTATATACTATGGTTTTCTCGATAGTATTTCCTTGTATTTGACTTTCGTCGCGTCAAGAAATGAAGAAAGTACTGTTGCTTTCGGTTCAGATGTTATATCTTACTATATATAAAGCGAGACGATATATATATATATATTTATTTATCCGCACCATTTTACTGACACCACGGCATTAACTTTATAATACGACGTTCCGCAAAAACCGTAAAAGATATAAAACTGAAACTTTTTTAATTGATTCAAATGCTTTAATGGCCTTCAAATTAGCATGAAAAAAATCGAAAATCGGCCAAGGAATAAGAATTTTAGTACCCAAAATTTGGACCCCCAAGACGTGGTGTCAAAAACGCGAATTAAATAGGTAATAATTATTTTTACTGGGAGACTTTAGGGTAGGAAACTGATCCGGCCACCAAAGAGCCTTGACACCAGTTTTAAAGGGTTGACGGGTTCCTGCTAGTTAATATAAGCTAGCCTTATAGTTACCTTTTGACTTCCTGAGTCATCCTGACCATGAGTGGCGTAACGTTACTTCTTGGCGCTTAACGGGTGATACTCGTAAAATATTTGTTCCATATATTGGAACGTCGACGAGTCCTGGTAGGTTGTAAACCTACAACTGGGCGACCCCCGCTCAACTCAAAAAGCGCCCCCCTTTCTATTTCTGGAGCGCGCTCGCTAGATTTGTCCGAGGGCCGTTGCCATCACAATTTTTTAATTTTAAAACGAAACATAAATGTGTACCATGAATAAAATTTAAATTTGGAAAGTGAGAAGCCGCGCGCAATTCAAATAATTTTATATGTAAGCCGCGCGTTTTAGTAATTAAATAGCCAGTTATTTGCGTATGATTGTGTTCGCGTTGGATAAAATATTATCTCGTGATATCTGTTAATGCTTGTGATTGGACTATGCAGAGTGACGTCGCGTGAGGGTAACAATAAATGTTTCATGTACTGGACACTAATGATAAGTCGGTTACAGAATGTCAGAATCTTGTTCGCGTTTCATTGTCGCTTGACATTACAATTACATTCGAAACAGCCGTTCGGTAATTTGTCATTTGTCTGCTTAGTGGTGTTAATTTGTGATAAACAATGAAACAATTTTGTGAATTGTGTGTTTCATATTGTTAATGTAACGAGGAGAAATGTTTTAAGCTGCTGTATATTTTACATACAATTATATTATATCAAGGTTGCCGCCCCTGACGTGACCTCTTCTCGCGATATTGGTTTGCTTCGATCAATTTACCGTACTGATTTCTCCGGAATAAGATTGGGATCCGAGGAGATTATAATCTGATCATAAGATAAAACACTTTTAGTGTAGTCATCCTGGCATAAAATCCACGGAAATATGGACAATTTTTTTACAGTGGATTTTTGATTTCTACGTGTAGATATAGGTCTCAGCTAACTTCTCTCAAAATTCCCAAGAAAAAAACCTTGTGCAATTTGCGTGGCGGCCACGCCCCTTTTTTAATATTTGCTCGTAATCGGAAACTATTGAAAATCGTAATTTTCGTCAATTTTCACAAGTTTGATGGCTAAATCTATGTATTTTTGCATGAGAAATCGATTCCCGTTGATGTTTTTGCTCTATAACGAGTTTTTAGGCGACCACGCCCTTTTTAAACAGACGCATGTGCCGATTTAATTTGAAAATCGAAATTTTTGTCAATTTTCACAAGTTTGATGGCTAAATCTATGTATTTTTGCACGAGAAATCGATTCCCGTTGGTTTCTTTGCTCTATAACAAGTTTTTAGACACTTTTATAGATTTTTTTGTCAAAATTTATTTTTTAAAATTTTGAATTGAATTTAGACGAAAACGTCTTGTAAAACGATAATATATTAATACATAATTATGAAACATAATATCGTCTGACAATTAACAAATTATTGAATAATATATCATAAGCAAGTGTTGGATAATTCAACCAATTAATAAGTTAAAAGTTTAATAATTTAAATTAAAAAGCTAAAATAGATAATGTAAAAACTTATCTCGAACAATTCACAATAGTTGACTATTTTGGTGAACCAATGATCCTCATAAAATAGGATTATATAGTGATGGTATTTGGTAAATGTATAATGTCATCATCGGCAACACCCAATGGAATAATTCAAGTTAATTGGGTATCTCTGTAAACAATTAACAACAATTAACAAATTATTGAATAATATATCATAAGCAAGTGTTGGATAATTCAACCAATTAATAATAGTGACTTGACTCGACTTAAGGCGGGTAGTATTCCCGAGATCCATTGACAACAGTTCTCCACAGCTTTCTGTCCTCCATCAGTCTAGCTATCTCATCTACTGACTTCAGCCCAGTATCTGCTTTTAGGTTATCTAGTAGTGTTAAGTGAGGTCGCCCCCTCCTGTTAGTATGCCCATGACTCGGCTTCCAGAGGATCAGTTTGTTCAGTGTCAGCTCCGGATGTCGGTGAGCATGACCTGCAAGTCAGAGCCTTCGTTGGGTTATCTTGGAGCTGACTTTGGGAAGATCACCGTGCAGGCTGTGGTTGCTGACATGGTCTCGATATTGATTGATGTTAAGGGCCATTCTTAACATTCGCGTATAGAAACCATCAACCATCTTCGCTAGCCTTTTCGTCATAGTCCAAGTCTCGGAACCGTACAGTAGCACCGACTCCACTAGTGCTGTAAACACTCTGATCTTGATAGACTTTCTAAGCTTAGAATTCCAAAGTTTTTTAGTATGTGGCATGCTCCCCATGCTCTTCCTTTCCTAACCCTGATATCACTCTCACTGTCTCTGATTCTAGAACCCAGTTAGGTGAAGTCTTCCACATGCTCTACTGTACTGTTACCCAGGGACTTGATGGTATCAGGGTTCACGATGTTCTGAGTAATGAATTTGGTTTTCCCTTCATTCATTCTAAGTCCAACTG